GTATGTATATGTGTGTGTCTGTATGCATGATCATGTGTGGAAGATTTGCATCTCCCTTGAAATGATTTTTCTTTTCTTTTTTTAAATAAATGTTTGTTTGTTTTTATTTTAACTACAACATAAACATAAAAATAAAATACATAAACCAAAATACAAATTAACTGTGTTCCCCACGGCCATAGACGGAACCACTTGCAATAATCCTCTTCTTCCTCCATCTTTCTTCTTCTTCTTCTTCTTTTATTGTCCTCTTCTCCAGAACAGAATATATATATATTCTCAGCTCTTGAGTAAACTAACAGTACATCTTTTGTCTGAAAAATCATTTATATATATATATTCAGCTCTTGAGTAAACTACTAGAAACAGCACACAAATAATAATAGCCTGAAAAACCCACAACAACCAGTATTAACTTGCATCCCCCAATAGTATGACATGTGGTCAAGCTACAGGATTCATGGAGTTATATTCCACTATATATATAGTGGCCCAACCTAGTGGAATATAACTCATTGAATCCTGTAGCTTAAATATACAGTATATATATATTTCTCAGCTCTTGAGTAAACTACTAGAAACAGCACACAAATAATAATAATAATAAATTAAAATACTTCAAAAACCAGTAATCACAACAAGACAGGATTTCACAGAATTAAAGTAACCCTGAAATAGCAGTCCTTGGAATGCTTCACTGTAAGCAAGTACTCAAACTGTATGATAATAATAATGGAGGGAGTAAAAGGGAGTAAAATTCTTCAGCTTGGATTCTCTGGATTCATTCCTGACTTCTAGTCCTCAGGGATTCACTCTTTTTTTTGCCTCTTGCTTCAGAGGACACACATACTCCTCTGAATGTTAGTTTATCATACAGACTACAGAGAAGGAAGCTCTTGAGCCTGCTTGCTATGGACAGCTTCTTGTCACAGAAGACCATTTCTTTACCATAAAAACTGCACCATATGTTAGTTTCAGCTGCATTGCAAACTGGCAAAGTTGCCTTGAGTGACAAAATGAGGAAACTGTTTCCCTTCTCTTTCTGTACAGAAGCAGCATGCAAACTGGTCCTCAGATTTCATTTTCAAAGAATATGACATGATGCCCAGGAAGGTAGAGGAACATAGAAAGGAAGTTAGGAACCTAATCTATACTGAATCAGACCATTGGTCCAGCTGGCCCAGTATTGGACACTGTGGCAGGCAGTAGCTCTCCAAGGTTTCAGGCAGGGTCCTTTCCTATCCTAGCCCTATCTGGAGATCCCTAGCATTCCCTGGTCGCAGGATTAACCAGTCCCAACCTTGCTTGTCTTCTGAAACAAAATCAGATGCAGGATAGATGGACACACACCGCAGTGTATAACCGGGGAGCCCACCTTGCTTCCAGCCTCTCAGTTGAAAAACAGGTATGAGCATCAGAGAATGGACAACAAGCTCCGACGCTGCCCATTGTTGTTCTACTCTGTGCTCAGGGAGGGCTGTCCACATTGGATTTCATTAGTTTCCAAGGGGTGAGTCCATCTGTCTGTTCATTCAGTGCCTGGTTAATTGGGGGGGGTGGACAACTGGGAGAGGAGCGTTTCTGTGTGATATCAGTAGGGGATAGCCAACCAATGCTTTGCACAGCCAGCTTCTGCGTCAAAGACACTTCAGCGCCCTTCCTGACCCTGACACACAAATACAAAATGCAGATGAAAGCAGAAGACTTTCAACTCATTGCACGGTGGGAGGAGACAGCTTCTTAAATATTTTTACTGAGACCTTGAGAAAGCTGATTGCTTTGAAGAACTTTATATTGACGGTCGAACGAGGCATTCGGCCTCATTCAGTTTCTCCTTTTAATAATACGATTTCCTCAGAGATCGGACCTCAGTAACCAGACTAGCAAATTAAGCCCGTGTTTACTTTCCAGTGACCTGTCACAAAGCAAATCAGGCAAGATACACAGGTGAGGAAAATCACATGCTATGATAAATACACCGATAAGCAGCCATCTTTCAGCCTCTTGCGAGAGCTCTGGGGTAAACACAATCAATGTACCATCTAGTGGGACCCTTCTTTATGCTTAGAAAGGAAGGAAGGGGCCCTTTTCCCACATGAATCTGCTCATCTTTGGAGGCCTTACTCAGAGGTTATGCAGCTGGTGACTAAAAAAGAGCAGGGCCAACCGAAGTGATTTTACTACCTGAAGGACAACAGCAAGCCATTTTTATTACCCTGGTAGGTACACAATGCATGGAAGTGAGAGCTGGACCATAAAGAAGGCTGACCGCCGAAGAATTGATGCCTTTGAATTGTGGTGCTGGAGGAGGCTCTTGAGAATCCCCTGGACTACAAGGAGAACAAACCTATCTGCTCTAAAGGAAATCAACCCTGAGTGCTCACTGGAAGGACAGATCGTGAAGCTGAGGCTCCAATACTTTAGCCATCTCATGAGAAGAGAAGACTCCTTGGAAAAGACCTTGGTGTTGGGAAAGTGTGAAGGCAAGAGGAGAAGGGGACGACAGAGGATGAGATGGTTGGACAGTGTCATCGAAGCAACCAGCATGAATTTGACACAACTCCGGGAGGCAGTGGAAGATAGGAAGGCCTGGCGTGGTCTGGTCCATGGGGTCACGAAGAGTCGGACACGACTAAACAACGGAATGATGACGATGAGGTACATAATATTCAAAGCCAGCAAACTGTTTTGGCACTTAAGTCAGAAAATCCAACAAGCAGCTATTCACTTATTTGGAAGCAAAAAATGCAATGACACTTCAAATAGGTAACAATTAACTGCTCTGTCATGACATTTTAAATCAGCTGCTTGAGGAGGCTGACTTGTCTGTACCTACACCAAGAAGTACTCTGTGAAAAGCAGTGGCAAGGATGGTTTTCACATCAGTCAACGCCTCCACCCTTTTCACATTATCCGTATCCACAAAATGTTATCATGGGCGAGAGATGATAGGCCCCAGACAGGGTTCAATGGGCCTATCTTCAACTTTGGAAAATGTTGTTCACCCATCTTGGGAAGTGTGTGAAGGCAATTGTGAACTTGTGGGAGAACTGGCAGTCTTGTGACATTGCAAAGGTTGTTCCCACACTAGTGAATCTCCGTCTGTCATAAGTAGTCTGAAGGAAATGCCATAATCACAAGATTAGCAGGGCACCAAAATTGGAAACTGGTTTGCTCTTGCTTTGTTCGGTGGAAAGACTGCTCCATCCTGAACGTCCTGCATCATTGTGGGATGATTTATCCTCCCATTTCTGATAAGTTGCTGCCTTGTAAATCTTTTTTGCCCCCTTCACTTTGGCTCTTTTTCTGACATCACCTTTGAGAATGTACATATATACAGAAACAGATAAAAAAGGGGGGGGACAAATGTAACTAAAGATTGCTGCAACATCTGTCTGTACAACAGTATATGTGTGTGATGCAAAAAACATAGTTTGGCCTAGAACTGATAGTTTGTAGGAACACAGTAATAAAGTGCCCTTAACAACATGGCACTCCCTTCACCAGGGGTCCCGACCATTTACCAAAGAAATCCGGGCAGTGGACAAATCCGAAGACGAACAACAGAGCAGGAGTAACTAAGGGCAACTTCAAAACCACAGATGGTCTTCATAATCAGGACACTTGGGATGTACGAGCAGCAAATCTAAGATGAACAAGTTATCCCTAAAAAGCTATTATAAGCCTTTTTTTAAAAAATCCAGAGATGGCTTATCAAGGAAAGAACCAGGAGAAGGCAGTTATCCTAAGCTAGAGACGGATGTAGACTTGGAAACATTCATCAGGAGGAAGCAGCAGCAGCTGAGTAGATAGCAGAAGTGCAGGTTCTCATCATGTCCTCCCCATAGTCATCTCCTCAAGGAGAGTTCAGACATTAAAGGCAATTATGTTAATCCAATTCTCTCCCTCCCTCCCCCTCTTCCCCCGGCCCCCAAGATTTTTGGTAAACCGAATGGGTCTACCTGGATTACCGGAGCGAGTCAGGAGGTGAGGCTGAGGAGCCTGACACCAAGAGAGGCCCGGAAGGATAAAACTCAAAATTGGGCCTTCTCGGCGGTGGCTCCTCGCCTCTGGAACAATCTCCCTCCTGAGATTCGCGCAGCCCCCATGCTGGGTATCTTTAAAAATCAATTGAAAACATGGGTGTTTATTCAGTCCTTCCCTCCAGGGCAATAATTGAACCTTTTCTTTTTCTTTTCTTTATTTATTCTTCACTCTGTTTTCCTGTCTTGTAAATTCTTGTGTTATTTTTATTAGTTGTTTTATGTTGCATTGGAAGCCGCCTAGAGTGGTTGCAAGACCAGATAGGCGGGGTACAAATAAATAAATAAATAAATAAATAAATAAAGAAAGAAAGAAAGAAAGAAAGAAAGAAAGAGAAAGAAAGAAAGAAAGAAATTACTCCTTTAATACTAAACTATCTTAAACTAGTTTGCATTACATCAGGGATCGTTTGCAATAACATATTATTGTTGTGAAAAATCTATCTTTCACTCCACTCAACTAATGTGAGGATGGTAGCGAAACTCAGAGGGAAAGGAGATGTCTGAGGGTGGTGGCAGATGATTCCATCATCTCTGCTCACAAACAAGTCCCTCCTTTTTGATCAGGCTGGAAACTTTTGGCTTCATTTGATCACTGAGACATACTATGCCAAGGAGAGATGTTCGGCAGTTGTGGCTCGCAGAACCCACAAATTCTACACATCAGAGTGGCTGTGTTTTGTGAGGCAGCAGTAGTACCTCACTATATCAAGACAGAGAGAGAGAGAGAAAGAGATCATCATACCTTCTCTTTCATATCTTCAAAGGAAGGAAACATCCCTTGAAGGAACGTTGTCTCAGCCTTCATGACTTCCTCACTTTTTGGAGTGCTGGACACATAAAATAAAAATGCAGTTAATACCTTTATTGGTTTCACTGAACTTTAAAATTGTGAGAATCTAGAAAAAAATCTTCTCTCTTTCTGGCTCTGGGCAGGTAGGGGGTCCCCAAACTTTCTACCTTAAGAACCCTGTTTTACTCTACCAGGCAAATTCCCTTCTGCCTCTGTAAGCATGGAGAAACAGTGACATTCAGTGGTCAGTTAGATTTATGGCATCTTGGTTTTTCTTTTCAAATCCCTGGAATGCCAACCCCCCACAACTTACCCAGACATACACACAACAAAACCCGTCTGCCATAATCTTTTACTTCGTTTTCAGCTTCTTTCATCTTTTGAGGAAGAGTGGGGAGGGAAGGACGAAGGAGCATGAGAGGCAAATGCTGCGTGTTTTAGTTGTATAAAATCGCTTGAACATTAATTTCAGATTAGCTCAAATGTGTTTGTGTTGCATTTTAAGGAGTAAGGGTAATGCAAGAACTACAGGGAAGAATAAAGAACTTCATGATGTTGGCAATAAACCGCTTAGCCTTTCTTCCTGCCTACTTGCAATCCCTTGTACTTGGGAATAAGAAGAGAATCTTCCACTCCAACAAAAAAATAAGACTTTTTAGGCATTTCTGTTGGACTCAAAAGATACAGCAATGATGCAATAGAACACCCACTCGCTATAGAGGGGCTACTTAGGTTTCTATCTTCAAACCATAGGAAATATTAAAAGGAAATGTGTGTCTTTCCCCTGTGCACAGCAAAGCATACATCTACCTCTGCACATATATGTGTAATTTTGAGCATGCACATGACTCTGTGCACGGAGGGGGAACTTCTGTGGGAAGAGTCCTAGTGATAAGGAAAAAGATACCCTGTGTGTAAGGAAGAAAGATCCATAATAGGATTAGACTGCCCCCTGTGTTTGCTAGGAGCTTATCAGAATGAAAGTACAACCAAGTTGCAGTTTGAAGGCAGCATGACGAGTAGCCACCGCATTATAATAAGCGATGTTTTCTTGCTACAGTACTTTCAAAACTTACCTTTAAAGGACATTTAAAGTCAGTTTATGCAGCATCTTTATGAGAGTTTTTGAAGCTTATGCTTTTCTCAATCCTAAGTAGTAAGAGAAGTATTGCTTCACCTTCAACAGAGGGAAATATTCTTAGAGTTCTGTAGTGACCAATCATGATACTGCGCCTTGAAAGTACTTCAAATATATATATTTGAAGTACTTTCAAGGCGCAGTATCATGATTGGTCACTAGAGAACTCTAAGAATATTTCCCTCTGTTTTTCTGGTAGGCTTGTAAGAGCAACAAAAAACGTTAATATTGCACAGCACAATGGTTAATCCAGCAGTAAGCTGCAAGTAGAATAGACTTATTGAATCAATGAGGACATAGTAGAAATTCTGAAAGTTCCATTGATTTAATGGCATATTCTAGTTGCAGTTTACTACTGGATTTCATCCAATGAAATGTATTTGCAAATGATAAGAGTAACCTGGCCTACCTGCTGTAATAAATAATGCATCAAATTCATTTTTTTAAAATAGCGTTCCAAGCTCTGGCCTAACACAGGTTTCTACCATTCCCATAATGCTTGTTGAACGTACGTCTGTGATTATAGATTATAGCTACATTCTAATACAGATTTGGTTGTGTGAAAGGATAAATGTAGCAACACTGCACAGTGGTACCTCGCTAAACAATGACCCCGCTAAACAACAAATCCGCATGACAATGACTTTTTGCGATCACTATAGCAATTCGCAAAACAGTCATTCCTGTGGGGGATTTTCGCTGGATGTAGATTAGGTCCATGCTTTGCGAACCGTTTGTTCGCAATATGACGATTTTTTCGGCTCCGCAAAATGGCTGCCCTGTGTTTTCCGGACCCATGCTTCGCAGAGCAGCCATTTTTACAGCTGACTGGCGCTCACCAAATGGCTTCTCTATGGGTGATCTTTGCTGGACGACGAGGTATTTTCCCCATTGGAAGGCATTAAACCGGGTTTCAATGCATTCCAATGGGGAAAGGGTTTTCGCATGACGACAATTTCGCTAAACAGCAATTTTCCCGGCATGGATTATCGTCGTCATATGGGGCACCACTGTATTTACTTAATTAAAGAGGGAAAAGATAGGCCATTCCTTAATGACATAAGCTTGGGTAACAATTATTTCCTCCTTAATCATAATCATGTGCTGTCAAGTCAATTTATGGTTGCCCTTTTCAGGGTTTTCCAGAAGTGGTTTGCCATTCCCTTCTTCTGGTTGGTGCCCTGGGACTGTGCAGCTTGCCCAAGGCCACATAGGTTGCCTTTACTCTCAGGAGGCACAGTGGGGAATTGAACTCCCAACCTCTGTAGACAGATACCTAAACCACTGAGCTCTTCAGTCATGTGTTGTCTTTTTGTCTCCAACAGATGGCCAACCATTAGGCAGTCTTCAGGGTGGTAATCAGAGTATTTGCATATTTGGGAGCTAGTTCTGAGGCTTGTCCAGGTTTTATCCTGAATGGATTTTTCATAACATGAAACTTGCGCTCTTCCTTTCACCTTGCCTTGAGCGTCCCGAACTACTTCATAATCATACAGATCCCTTACGATATTCTACTACAACTTGCTTAATCTAAAGACCAGAAATCCCTACATTAACTACCCTTTATGTTGTAGGTAGTAGGTCTGCACATGAGCAGACCCTCATGGACAGATCAAGCTTCTCCCCTCTGAACACCCAACATTTGGTTTACTGCTACTACCAGAAGGGAGGTGAAATGAGGGCTTGTCCATGCAGTGGTATTGTCATATTCAGTGGGAGGTGGGGTGTGTGTTCTGGTTTGTATGTGTTTGTACATGTGTGTGTTACACATTTAAACAGAGCTTCCCAGTACAGTATTTGCATCTACACACAGGGATAGTATATGTTGATGAATATACTGGGATGCACTGAGTACCACCAGTCCATCCACATCTGAAACTGTTCCCTGACCTCTCACTCCCAACACAGATTGTCCTTCCCTTGTATCTTCTCCACCTTCTTCCTGCCTAAGTCACTCTTTTGACCTTCCCTACTCATTTAACCCTTCCGTAGGGCAAGTATGGCCTAAGGAGGAAATATTCAGAACAAAAACATACACCTATCCGGCAGCAGCATTTTTTAAAAAAACACTGAAAAGCAAGGTTTTCATCAGTTTCAGCCCTGCATTGTGTGTACACTGGGATGCAGTACCAGTACGATGCGTTCAAAGAAAGTTGGCCAACTTGGATGGACTCCCAGTATAACAAGATGAAATAGCTCCTATATCAACAAAATTAAGCAATTTTTTGATGCATTGTACTAGCCAGCAGCTAGGCATATTGTTAAGATCTAGGTGCCAGAGTCATAACTGAGCTTTGACATATGTCTATAAAGGAACCTGCTTTGCTTAAACAGCAAAGAGTAAGTTCTGCAGTTGATGTTGTTCCTCTGTTTATTAAAAACGGATGGGAGCACTTGACAGAAAAATCAAACTTCTGGTCATGGCTCATTAATCTCTGCTGTACCTGTCAGATATGTGTGTTTAGAGTTTCAACAAGGCTTGGAAATTAAGATTACTGCTGTGCTATTGTATTTCCTCTTTTAAACAGAGAAGAGTGCTACCAGGAGTTTAAAGTGAGAGACAAGAAAAGGGTCATCTTATTAAGCAAGATAAAGCAAATGACATTTGCAAGTTACGTACTTTGGCCCTAATTTTCAGAATCAGTTGATTGACTACCAATGGCATTTGGGCAGCTCAGCCTCTAAAAAATTATATCCAAAATTTATAATCAAAAAGCAATCCCTTTTGTAAGAATGTGATTTGCAGTGACATTTCAGGAAGATGGATCTCCATTACCAGATTTTGCTCTTCAGTAAGATGGGGGTCAGTTGCGAGCTCTGCCAAATTACAACACAATACAAATATTCTCCTGGTTTGGTAATTTATTGGGGAAGATACCTTGTTAGCAGTTGAAGCCCAGCAGTGGGCAGCAAATGCATTCTCTTCCAAAGCACTACCGAACTGATGGCCTTACCAGTGCCTTGCGACCTGGAATTTAAAATCACAAGCTTACAGCTAAAGTGAGGCTGGGAATTAGGTCTGGCCTTATATGCAAATCCTACCTAAGAAATCAATATCAAGTGTGATTGTAAATTCATCCCATTTCTATGCAACACCATATTATTTTAGTTAGCAAGTCATAAACAACTATTAAGGAAATAGAGGAATGAACATTTTCTCCTATAATAATTGTAAGTGGCTATCAATACAGTCTCTCTCTCACACACGCACGCACACAAACACACCACAGACTTCATAATCTATTGTTTGGCATGCCTAAAAGTTATTTGTTAAGAGTAGATTCACACTGGCTACTTCAAATTTGTTCCAGTGCCGTATCAGGATTAGCACTGTCATCACAAATGAGTCAATAATCAATTTCTTTGGAACAATTTAGCCACATTCTTTTTTTTTAATCTTTTGGAAAATAATATATTCTAGAGCTGCCAATCTTGTTTTGTTTTTTGTTTTTTTAACCATGGCCAGAGACACCATATGAAAGAAATATAGGCTGGATCAGGATTGTATAAGTTGCATAACAAACCTTTTTAGATGTTGTGTGAAGAATTGTTTGAAGTGGGCCACATTGTCTGTGGCCCACTTCAAATGCACCAGGCCTTATAGGGAAGGCCTTATAAAGCTTTACATTGTTGGAACTGACATCTTTGTTTCTTCTGGAAAGGAGATTTATTCTTTATTTTTCCTTGCATTTGAATCATTTTCAACTCTTGTTGTATGCTTTAGAGAGGCAGAACAAAGGAAAATTAGGTTGCCTTTGTTTGTTGTTTCAACGTATATTCCATCCCATAGTTCTAGAGCACTCTCTGGGCAGTTTAGAACATAAATTTGCAAGCAACACTTTGCCTCACAGCAGGCTGGGTACTCCTTTTACCAATCTTGGAAGTATGGACGGCTGAGATAACTTTGGGCTGGTTGGGACAGTACTCAGGTCATGAGGCGATTTGGGATGAAGCCCCACCCATCCTGGTGTACAAAACACCAGAGAGGGGTGTGTGTGTGTGTGTGTGTGTGTGTGTGTGTGTGTGTGTGTGTGTGTGTGTGTGTGTGTGTGTGTGTGTGTGTACAGTTGGACCGCTGTATCTAAGAGATCAGTACCTGTAGTTCCACTTATGCATTTCCTGAAAAATCCATCCATCCATCCATTCCAGAAATATATGTTCCTAAGGTGTACTACCTGGCCTGGCCACGAGATGGAGCCAGAGACTATTCTACATACTGTACTGTATAGGTGGCTTAATGGAAATGCATTACAGTAGTGATCTGAGATCTCTAAGGGAAGCAGCTCCTAATGAAATGCAGATGCTGAATTATTGGGAGGGGCAGTTGCTCATTTCTGGGAAACATTTCTTGTGATAGGAGGGTAGGAAACCCAGTCCTTTTTGCAAGAATGGGCCAGGGTTCCCTCTCTCAACCATGCAGGGGCACCAAAGAGCACAGAGTGCTGTCCTCTGAAGATGCTGGCCACAGAGACTGGCAAAATGTTAGGAAGAACAACCTTCAGAACACAGCCAAAGAGCCCGAAAAACCCACAACAACCAAACTGGAAATACTTTGTTCATCGGCTATTTCCAGCATCTGCAGGGAAGGCGCTTAGAAGTGATCCCCCACAGATACGGCAGTCCTCCTGTAATTCTAAATCATCTAGCCTAACAATGCAGCACTTTCACAAAATCCACCCATCATGAGACTCACTAGACAACTTTGGGTCAGCCATGCTCTGGTGTGAGGAAGTGGGCAAGAGGGCAGCCCCATAAGCTCATGGGAGGTGGGATACAATGCAGCTAACAAATACATTTTTCAAAATGTCAAAAAGTTACAGGTAGGGGTTTTCATTACAAACAAATGATCTAATCGGCTTATATGTCTATCTAGTAGCAATACGTGTCATCCCACATGCAGGGCTGGAAAAGGAGGGGGCTACAGGCTGGTCACGAGGAGGCAGACATGACTTAACGACTAAACAACAGGCTGGCTGTGCCCCAGGGCAGACCCGATATATCTGTTGCTGGGTGAAATGGCACTCCATGTCAGTTCCACATACAGAAGCTGACTGGGTTGGCAGGTGTATCCAACATCAGCACTGGCAATGGACAGCATCTCACCCGCCACATGGTTAGAAATCCCAGGGCATATCATGAGGTGTACACAACTCTGCCCTCTAAGAGAAAGGAACAATGGTGAAGGTGGAGAGCCTTAGGAGGAAAAGCAAGGTGGCTGCTGTTACTGCTGCCCTCTTCTAACATCTGCTGCCTGAGGGAATTACCTCATCCTGCCAGACCCGACATGTTGCTGCAAGGGGTCGGAGTCTGCCCAAACAGATTTGCTTTCCTACAGCTGCCCAGGGATCTCATTGGAAGGATGCTCCGGAGGCAAAGGATAGTCTCAACTGACCAGTGGGGGCTGTGCACCACAGTGAGGTCAGCAGCATGTGTGCTGAATTTTATACTGCCCCACACAGAAATTTAGTAGCATAACTGAGATTACTCTGACATCTGATCGTTCAGCCTGGAGGCAGGCAGTACATCACGGCCTCTCCCAATTTGAAGAGACCCTTGTCCAGCAGGCTGAGGCAAAGAGGAAGTCACAAAGGAAGCAAAACCAGGGAGCTGGACAGGGGACAGATTGGATTTGTCTCCAGTGTGGAAGGGATTGTCACTCTCGAATTGGCCTCCTCAGCCACACTAGACGCTGTTCCAAGTCCTCCATACAGAGCACGATACCATAGTCTTTCGAGACTGAAGGATGCCTACTACTACTACTAATCACAACAGGACTATTGCATGAAAGGAAGTGAGCATTAAACATCACAAAATAAAAATCCAAATGTGTTTTTACAAGGGTGCAGAGTTTTTATTTTAACAATGTTATTCAGTTCCCCCAGATCTCATAACTTGGTCAGAATTAGAGATGTGTTTTCCATTTTTACATCATTTCCCCCATAGTTTCATTTTTAAACAAATGGAAAAATAAGCTATAATTGAAATCAACTCGAAAAAGAAATAAAAAAGACAATCAAGATGTTTAATCTTTAATATAGAAGTTTGAAAAGGATGCCAAAAATATAATATTAAACCTCACAGAATAACATTTTTTTCCACATATGCATTGCATGGCACAGTATGATATTTTCAGACACCAATGATAATCCTAACACGTTACAGGGTAGGAAAGCAGAATCAAGTGTGCCCCACCAACACTCAAGGGCAGGAGACAGGCAGCTTCCAGGAAACTTACTAGTGTGATCCTTAATGTTTCTTGATCAGGCCATTTCGTGACCTGGGCAATAGCCATGTTTGATGGCAGCCTCATCTTGTTCCAAGTACCTCTGCAAGTTAGCTTGTCTCATCTCAGAGATGACGAATCTGTAGTGCCCCAGATGTTTCGGACTCTTAAGTCCCACAAACCAAACTGCTGACCACGCTGAGTGGATCTGGTGGGAACTGTAAGCCAAAACAGCTGAATGGCAAAAGTTCCTCGCCCCTGCTGTATCTCATGGCAGCCTGTTAGTTTCCTTACACACTTGTTCTTCCATCCTCATTACTGCCCTCCCTACGATACCTTTCTAGGCTAAGATCCTTATCTGCCTCTGCACCCTGTTGATCTCCCAGTTCTGCTAGGCCTCATTCTCTGCCTCCCAATATACTTAGTGTTTATTACCCAGCACTGACAAACTCCTACAATGTACTGTTTTTTCTTTAAATAACTGGATAAAACTAATTAGAAATCATAATTAACTTAGCAATGATCACAAAGCTACAGTAATTTTTACTTTGTGGAAAAGTGAACAAGTGGGGGCAAATCATGATTTACCTGTATTTCAATGTGATCTATAAGAATGATATCAATGAGAAACAATTTATGTTTAATTTTAGTATGTCAGCAGCAAGGACTGTAGATTGCTTTTCTTTCAAAACATCTAATTGTGACTGGTTTGCCTTGATATTGCCTAACAACCCCAAAATGCATTGATCAGAAAAATGAATATACTGGCAGAAGAGGACATCTCATTGTGGTTCAGAAGCTGGCAAGGCTCTCACAAACAGAAATGTAAGACACCACATGTACCTTGTTTCCTGCTCTCTAATTGATCTTGTTGCAAGCTCGTGTCCCCAATTGCAAGAGAGCTCTTATATTGGAAGCAGTTATTTCACAAAACGGCCAGGAGACAAGCTGTATTGAGAAACAGATCAACATCTCATCAGCTCGGCAACTCAAAGGGATCATCTCCAACAGTAAAGGCTGATGTGTGGGTGGTGTGGGGGAATAAACAGATTGATGTACAAACAATTTCAAACATTACCCTTAAGGCACCAGCTGAAGGTTATACGAGCAGAAAAGAGAAGGTACGTTTTATGCTTCCTAAGACAGCTGTGATTTTCTCTTTGCTTCAATGTTTACAATAATAGCACGGGGAAGAGAGTGGACGTTTCCCTTGGTAGAACCAAATTATGTACCATCTGGCCACCACTGTCAAAGAAAGCACCATCAAGAAAACAGTGTGAATAATCCCTCAGTCAGCATTCCAGATGTGCTAGCACCACATTATCCATGAAGGCTTATTGGATATATTGTTCAAATCTATACAAGTGATGTCATTGTTGAAATCCCCGGCCCCCTCAACCAAGACAAGGATAATCTAATGGGTGAGAATAAATTGGTAGAGCAAAATATTCTTCATTTCTGTATATTCTTGAAAAAATGGAACTGCACCTTGAAAAAGCTTGGATGCTATTTTTCTGGAGTATGGGGTCATAATTCAAGTATGCTATTAATGTCAAATATCATGACTATGCTCTTTATTACATTTGTATTATTACCTCATATCGTTTATTGAGATGATTGCTCTGTGCATTTTCTAGTGCTACATATCTCAGGTTTGAAAAAGATGAACAGGCCTAAAATGTGGCCTGCATCCAATGAGTCACTGCATAAGCTGAAGCTCTGCTGCATTTAGCAGAGTGGATATGAAGCTTCAGAGTTAGTGTTGTTGTTTTGTTTTTTTAAGTGGCATTGTTGCGCAATAACATACCTGCAGAGACTTTCATTTCCTTCACCTTGACAAGGCTGAGGCCTCCTTCAGGGCCTTCTTCTATGTCTTCAGTTCCTGCTACAATGCTTCCTGGGAATGGTAGTTTCATGTCTGTGGCGGTCAGCCCACAGGTCACTCCTGTCAGTCATTTTAGAGCTCCAGTGCAGGAGCCTATGACAGGACAGGAGGGGCGGAGTCAAGAAAACTGGGAGAGAAAGAGAGTCAGTTAGGGGGAAGACTGAGAAGTGTTTAGACAAGATATTGGAAAGTTGGTTTGTTAGAGATTATAATAGAGTTAAAAGTAATAAGAAATACATAGAGAGTAAGAATATATTGAGACCTTGATTGAAGTAAATGAATGCAAGCAAGTTTACATGTAATCAAATCCACATTTATTGAATGAAGGTGGACCTGTGAGTGGGAAAGCAAACAGGGTACACTGGGGGTGCGCGACAATGTCCCTTTATGCTTTGTAGAAGGTGCTTTCTAAAAATCCCCCCTCCCAAGAAATGTGGTAGCAGCTTCCTCCCAGGACACACTGGACATGTTTGAGGGCTGCCACTCCTGGAATTCTGTCTGGGGAATTCTTGAAGAATTCTGGGAGCTGAAGTCCCAAAAACCTGAAGGGCCCATCCTTACCTCAGACAAGTGTCTTAACACCCCCTCCCCTTTTGGGGAATGTTAGTGCTGTTTTGACCAAAATAAACGTGACACTCCCAACTTGCACATCAAAAAGAGAATGATTGTCCTATAAATTAAACGGCTTGACTTTGAAACAGTGTAGTAGTTAAACCAGAAAAAATTAATTTGTGTACTATAGTAGATACAGTACTAGTAAAGAATTGCATTATCAATTAAGACATCATAGCCCTGAAACATCCATCTTTAAATTTCCTCATGAAACATAGGCAGGTTATGATCAAAGAATGGAGAAGTCGACCTTGAAATCTTGGGCAGAGTTATAGACTTCTCCCACTGTCTACAAACCACCTTGTTCTGAACCATACATAATCAAAGCAAGAAAGGCTGTACACAAATCTATTCTAATTATAAAAGGTTAGTTAAAATAAGCAGAGGCAGTGGCAGATTTTACTTTCTTGGGCTCCATGATCACTGCAGATGGAGACAGCAGCCACGAAATTAAAAGATGTCTGCTTCCTGGGAGGAAAGCGATGACAAACCTTGACAGCATCTTAAAAAGCAGAGACATCATCTTGCCAACAAAAGTCCGAATAGTCAAAGCTATGGTTTTTCCTGTAGTGACGTATGGAAGTGAGAACTGGACCATAAAGATAGCTGACCGCCAAGAATTGATGCCTTTGAATTGTGGTGCTGGAGGAGGCTCTTGAGAGTCCCCTGGACTGCAAGAACAAACCTATCAATTCTAAAGGAAATCAAGCCTGAGTGCTCACTGGAAGGACAGCTCCTGAAGCTGAGGCTCCAATACTTTGGCCATCTCATGAGAAGAGTGGACTCCTCGGAAAATCCCTTGATGTTGGGAAAGTGTGCGGGCAAGAGGAGAAGGGGACGTCAGAGGACGAGATGGTTGGACAGTGCCATCGAAGCTACCATCATGAATTTGACCCAACTCCGGGAGGCAGTGGAAGACAGGAGGGCCTGGTGTGCTCTGGTCCATGGGGTCACGAAGAGTCGGACATGACTAAATGACTAAATGATGACGACGAGTTAAAATACATACATTAGAAACATAAACTTTCAAAATCAAGAAATGCATCAAGACAAAAAAAGGCTATTTTTCCACTTTGGGAAGTGTAAATGAAAATTCAAGATTTGTCTGTTTCTTTGTCTTTTTATTTTTCTGGTTAGTAGAAACTGCAATTTTACCCATCAGAAACCTGCCTCGTCAATAACAATTATTAACATAACTAGCTCCAAGGCTACATGCATTCAAGAGAAAATTGGACAACCATCTGTCAGATCTGGTTTGACTTGGATTCCTGCATTGAGCAGGAGTTTGGACTCAGTGGCCTTATAGGCCCCTTCCAACTCAATGATTCTGTGATTATTCTATGTATTTTGTAGGATTAGTGGAGATTGTAACCTGTCAGACATGTTAAATTGAACGTTTATCTGGATATGCTTGGTCAGTGAACATTCACTGACTTGTGTAGTTAAACAATAACTTGTTTCCTTTCTATGAGACTGAAATCACCATGACCTCATGGTAAATAATTGTTTGAAAAGCTGCTTGTTGATTGTTATTTTCAAACCATTTCCTCTGTTACTAATAAGAAAAGGTAAAAAAAAGTTCTATACTGTAATTTAGACAAGTAGGCATACTCCTTGTTTTTGACTTGGGTACCTTTTGCTGGTAAAATATACACTTTCAGTTTACCTCACTCACTCTGTTTGTTCTGCCATCCTTCACCTGAGGACATACCTCTGGTGTTAATTCTGCTGCAACAGATATGTAAGACTAGTAATACTAGTGTTATGTAATACTATGATAGCTGTAATAGTGCCAAGGTGTGTTATTCAAAGCACTTCTGCATGTACATTGTGCAATCAATCACAATAGGAGCTGTGTGATCAACTGCACACAATCGACTCATGAAATTCTTGTTGCCCGAGCATAATGCCCAGCAAAGTTACATCTGCATGACTTTGGATACAATAAAATTCAGGAATTTAACCACCAAGTGAATAGTGTCTTGTAAAATTACAAAATACGCATGACTATAAGTAGTATACATGAGTGTGTTTAATGCAGCAAGAATTACAAAGACATCACATTTTCAGTGTTAGAGAATATTTTGGAAGAACCACAGAAAATATAGTACTGAATGAAAGTGTATATTTTATGACCTGTATAAAAACTTAATTAGAATGGAATTTGGCTGTGTTATCAAGAGATACATGCATGTACTGGTACATATGAATAGAGGAAAATAGATACATCAGTCATACTGTTGTGGTTCAGCAATGTGTTTTCAGAAAAGATCAACAGGTTCTATGCAATATTGATTTGATATGGTGTCCTTTTCCCATTAAGCTATCCAATTTCAGCTGGGTAGAACACATTTATTTTTTGAACATATTGTTGTAGTTTCAGCCGTCTGTTGACCTTAATCTTTCATTCCACAGGAATGTAAAAATCATGGCAATGAATTCCATGGTCTTTAGTTTCCAAATTCTTTAAAATTGGAAAACTAAATTAAACAAAACACAATGGGCTTCAGGATAAAACTATTTTTGAGTAATACTTTCAATGGAAACAGAAGAAAGCCATGACTTTATTTACTTAAAGTATTTTTATAAACTCCTCTCCTTAAAAAGAAGAAAGAGTGGCTTACATAATTAAACACCAGTATTTAAAAGGTAAAAACAAAATGATCTGCATGCACACAGATACAGTATTCCATTCTGACCTGATATTTTATTCATTTACATTTATATCCCACCCAACTAGTACCTGGGCTACTAGTCTAGTGGCTGCACTTGTCCAGAGGTTGCCACAAAGTATTTGTCAACTCTAAAGAATTGAGGAGTGAACCTCTGAAGTTCTGACCGGTGGCAAAATACATTTATATCCCACCCAACTAGTAGCTGGGCTAGTAGTCTAGTGGCTGCACTTGTCCAGAGGTTGCCACAAAGTATTTGTCAACTCTAAAGAATTGAGGAGTGAACCTCTGAAGTTCTGACCGGTGGCAAAATACTAGTACTATCCCAGTCACTCCAAAGATCGGGACCCATGAGATCTTGGTCTACAACTGCTCTCTACACTCCTCATTCTTCATAGCACAAACAGCAGCTTGTTTGGGGTGGTGGAGATTCAGTCTGGAAATGAAATTGCTTCAAATAAGGGATGAGGAACACATGGCCACACAAATATTATTGGATGTCAGATTTCCCCTTATCACTGGCTATCTTGCCCAGAACTCATGGGAATCACATTTTAGCAACATCTGGGATGACCACAGCTTTCTCAATCCAAACCTAAACACACCTTTCTCCAAAATCAATGGCTGTCTTCTACAATAGCCTTTCAATTTTTAAAAAGCCTTGAGAGCTCCTGTCAAGATTCCCCAACATCATGTGTAGTCTGGATCTTAGTCACTCATTCAGATGCAACTTTAAAACATACCAGATCACAAGACATGTTTAGGTTTATAACCTTTGCGCAAAATAAATCAAGGGATGCCAGAGACTCTTTGTCCACAGAATCTCAGGTACCTTTCCATCTTATATTTGGGAATCACGGCTTGTTAAACTCAAATAACATATAGAAAAGTGGCCAGCCCAATTCCCCCTCTACAATGGCACAGTCCTGCTCCACGGGCCTCAAAGGCATTATCACAGAAAGGACTAATTTAATTCCCAAAAGAAATGGCACCAGGAGAAAGTACTACTATTAGCCAATTTCTTATCTAGAAGTAAAACAGACACCTGTGTTTCTCAAGGGAAAATGTTGTATCTGGTGGAACCAAAACAGAGATATCATTATCATGTAAAGATGAAGAAATAGTCATGCGAAGACAGGAGAAATGCCTAAATCAAGATAAGAGGAGGATCCTGAAAAGTGAAGAGGGGGTAAGGTGGGATGTGGAAGAAATAGTCCTGCCATTAACACAATTGAGGCCTTTCTTATTCAAACATGAAGAGAAAGCATGCTAAGGAACAAAAGATCCTACTGTATACATTCTCTTTATTCAGAGTACAGGTACATGATAATAATTTCATTTACTTATTTATTTGAAATAGTCTTAGCCTGCCTTTCTCCTTAAAAGGGGCCCAAGATGGCTTAGGTAATCAAAAGACTAGATTTACAAGTTAAAAACAATAAGTATACAAATACTGAGAAGAATCAAATACCACACTAAAAATGGTATGCAACTTACTATGCTAAAGTAACAATTAGAGTAGAATTAATGCACTAAATCCTCATTGCTTCAGTGGGCCTCCTCTAGTACAACTTACTATGCTAAACATCAGGATTTTAGCCAAAGAAAGCTAAATCATCACAATATATTCAGATTCCTCACTTGTGAATTCCAGAAGCAATACCAATAAATTGTTTATTCTATAGTTTGTCTCCTGCATTTTCTTAACCAAGCGTACGTTCTTGGTTTCTTATTAAGTTTTCCTAAAGGCCTTCATTTTCTTGTAATTTTTTATAGCTTAAAAATGTATCTGATACTATTTTTTATGTTACCTACACTTGGGTGTTTTTCAACTTGTTACATGTTAAAAACTTCAAAGTAATGTTACTAGCAATGCAGGATGTTACAAAGCTGTAACAAGGTGTAATAGTCACATGTCAAACACAATGCAATCAATGGGAACAATGTTACTTTATTGATATAACGGGTAATGTTATTTTGTAGAGCCATTTTGATAGGATTTTCTCAAGTGTAAAACTGTTCTCATATCAACCCTAATATTTTAAATAATCAAAAAGCAAGAATGCAGTAAGAAATAACAAGTTGCTTTTTAAGCAATATAAATGCAAAAAGTCCAGCACAGTGAGGGTCTTGTCAGCAGTCATTTAGGGTAATTAACAGCCTGCTTATCCAAGTAAATCAACATCATACAAATACATTAAAATAATATGTGGTAGAATTTGCAAGAAGTGCAAGAAAAAGTAAGGAAAGACACAATTTGACTTCAAAGGAGAAGGGAAAAGAATAAGGGAAACACTATTCTGCACAACTATAGTTGGGAAGAAATGTTATATGAATAGTGATATTTATGCTTCTTTTATTGGCTATAAAATACCTGATGAAATTGCTGGTAAACTAAATTTTTTTTCAAGATATTCATATAATTGTATGAATGACCTCCACAATTTTGGGGAGAACTTGTAGCTACGAACACCCCAATCAAATCAGTATTAAGAAAATTATATGCAATGAGCGCTTGTAGGCCAGAACTGAGACAAAATGTTTCTTGTTGCCCTAAACGAACTGATGACTTTTAATGATTACTGAAAAACTATTACTATGTTAGGCCTTTTGCATTTCAAATCCACATCCTCCCACTGTTTATAAAAACGCGTGTCTATTGAAGCTACACTCCTTCATTGAAGAGTGGGTTACAGTGTATGAAAGTTTATGCTAACCAAAACTTGCTAACGGTTAAGATGCTAACAAGACATTATTGTCCTGCCTCATAACTGATTTTTTTTTAAATGACAGGCTAGTAAACAGCAAAGAGTGAGAGGCTCATCAGCCTTTCTAAATGATTCACCCCGAACCCACTGCTGGTTGTGTTTTCCTCCACCAAGAGTCCAAAATTGCATGGGTCCTTAGGAGCTGGTCCTCCGGATGTTTGTCAACAGCATTTCAAACACTCCCCGCACTATTGGCTATGCTTGCTAAAGCTGCATGCGGCCCCCCCCCCCGATCTAGTGGGTCTCCTCTGTAGAAATTTCCCCTAAGAAATAACTACAAACATAAACCCACCCACCCCACTCCTAGGAATAAAGCAGGACAAGATTCTAAATTTTCGGAGCGAAATGTAACTCTTTCTTGCTGAACCACCTGCCGCGCCCGCTGGGGGACTTAAAGAAACAAGAGCAAAATACAATTAAGAATAATGCACTACTACAGTATATTCCATTAAGTCCTTTTGGCTCTTGAATTAAAAAGCGCGCGCGGGAGGGGGAGGGAAAGCACGACGAATGGCTCCCCGGGGCCGCTCATCACGTGACGAGCCGGCACTTCTTCCTCCTCCCCCCCCCTACGCGCGCCTTCTCCTCGCCCTCTCGCTCAAGCTTTTGCGGCGAACGGAAACGACGTCTTCGCGTACGGCAGTTGTGGTAAGTCCTTTTGGCTCTTGAATTAAAAAGCGCGCGCGGGAGGGGGAGGGAAAGCACGACGAATGGCTCCCCGGGGCCGCTCATCACGTGACGAGCCGGCACTTCTTCCTCCTCCCCCCCCCTACGCGCGCCTTCTCCTCGCCCTCTCGCTCAAGCTTTTGCGGCGAACGGAAACGACGTCTTCGCGTACGGCAGTTGTGGAATACGGCAGAGGCGGGGAAACGCTCCTGTCCCTCTTTTTTTTCCCCCCGAGCATGGCTACGGTGGTGGTCGGGCGCGGGCTGTTGGCGAGCCACCACGCTTGGAACGCAGCCGCGAGGGCGACGAAGCCGTTGGCCGGACGGAAGGTAAGCGGGGCGGGGGGGGGCGCAGAGGGCG